GATTTTTCTCTTTGTCCTTCAAGACAAATGAGCCTCACCTTCATTTTAATAATAATAGAGAATTTAATGGTAGCTTGTCATTTTGGATAATCATTACCATACCAACATAAGCAGCCCCAAGACCACTCTTGGGCACAGACAATGGGGAGAGAATGGTCCATTTTAGTGTCTGAGGATCAAAACATTCCAAAACATCAAGAGATCTTCTCAAGTATCCCCCGGCAAAGTACATCACAGTTGGACCAGGGGGGCATCGTTTGTGAACTGTGCTAAGTGTAGAAAATCTCTTTGTTTCCTACAAGTTAAGAATAAAGTGATACATGTGTGACTGTTAACAAGTTTTACAAATATAAGAGGGATAGTTTGCTAATCTTTATGAAAGAAAGAGTTAGCGTGGGACATATGACTCACTACTGATACCCAGTAGGCCGTTCAAGAGTAAGTTACCACCATCTCGAGAGACCAGTACTGTACTTCATAGGTTTGGCCTCTTATTAGAGGAAAGAATGATGCATGCAGGTTTGCAAACAAGGGAATCAAACTTTCAAATACTCACTGAAAAAGCGTCAATCAATATTTCTTTAAACTCAGATCTCATGCCCTGTTTACAACATTCGATGATCGAATTAAGGTAAGTGTTTGAAACAAATGGCACTATTTTTTAAACATATTTTCGAGGGTATACATTCTTTAAAGCCACTGATATGGACATGGCATGTGGTAACTAAATCCTTTTTAGTAAATTGAAATTAAAGAATAAGCGTAACTATCTGCAATACGTAAAAAACTTATTTATACCTTGAGGAAAAGCTATAGAAATAATTGGGAATTGACGATGGTAAATATTCTCAAACTGTATGGTTTTTCTGATAAAACTATCGCACGAAGGACGAACATTTAAGGGGACCTAATATCTTTAAGACTAACAGGTGTTTTCCTCAACAAGCGTTTTCTATTTTTATAGGATTTCGAGAGTATACACTCTTTAAAACCACTGATATGGGAATAATATGTATTAATCAAATTGCTTTCAACAAAATCAGATTAAAAAATACTGTTTGTATTCAAACTACGTGTATATTAGCTAGCATCATTATGTGACGGACGAGGCTTTAAGAGGATCCCTTTAGATGCTCATCCTACAGGTAACAAAACATCTTTTAATCTATTTTTTAACAAACTCTCGAGGGTATACTCTCTTTAGAGCCACTGATAAATGAAAGAAACTAAAAACTTTAATGAAAAGAAAAGACCCAAAGGACGATGATAAGGAAATTCCCAGAAGTTACGTTAAAGTGGATACAATTATTCTGATTACTGACGCAAGACTGACAGTTTTGGAAAAGCGCAGTCAAATGTTCTACGTGGGAAAAAATTGTGAAAATATGAAATTGAATTAACCAATTAACACTCAGGGTCAAGACATCCGCAAATGGCTAGATGTTTGAGTTTTCTTGGATAAGGACGATAAATCGTAGGCCCCGAACTTAGCTCTCGGTATTGTGATCGATCATTGTTTTTATTTATACGAGCCCCCATTAAACTAGCTTTAAAAAAGCTGAACTGGGCCAGCAACTTTATTTATCGCAGATAAATACATAATAGAATAAATAAACAAACAGTTCTTTAATGATTATCTCTTGGAATTCTTTCTCTCTCACTCGGTGAAAACGATATGGCAGCCGGAGACGAGGAATTAGACGAGATAGCATTTGACAATGACGATGATGGCGACGAGATGACATAAGAGCAATGGAAAAGTCAGCTGACCCTTTAAGCCGCTTTAGACCCTTCAGGCTCAGACGTGTGGTCATTCGACCTCGTTTTCGGAGTCCATTTAGCCGTCCTTTTCGCTGTGGTCGTCGTGTTTTCATAATTCGTCGTTTTCGTCGTAGATTTCGCGGTGAATGAAGACCATTTCACTGATCAAATGCCTGGCGAAGATGAGTGCAAAAAATAAAAGATAAGAAATGGGACGTGCCAGCTTCTTGTTGTCATTCATATTCTCCTTGTCAGCACGTCGATGAATGTAAAGAAAACAGTATGGAGAATATACATACTAATGTGAGGGTGTAAAAAGTTAAGAGTGACCCTCGTCGATTCTTATGATTGATTTTTTTTTCTCATCTCTAGTAGGTCTAGATGAATACCCGGCACCTATCAAATGCTGATGAAGAACTTGGGACAACCGATATAACAGTTTCTTTTTTTTCTTTTTTTTTTTTTGTTTTATGCTGTGGAAAGTAATCGTAATTCTAGAACTTAAAAATTCCTCAGCCTCCGTTAAAATATAATGTAAAGTGATGCAGAGGTAGTTAGAGAAAATGTTATGTTTTCTATAAGTTCGTCAATGGAAATTAATCAAAGTTTACAAAACCTGATTCTTTTGTTGTTGTTTTCTTTTTCGGCTGCAGTTGAGGAAGATTTTATTTATCATTTGTCTTTGTTGATGTTGTTTTCATTAGTATCGCTCAAACCCTGTTTATAGTCAATCAAGGGGATTTAGAACTGGCCATCGATTGTAGAAATTTTCGATAAGCACTTTTCAGAATGTAAACACCGTTTTCCTTAACTCGTTAAGCGTATTCGGCAACTGTTCTAAAATCACTTACAAGCTCCTCGTAAGAACAATAACAAACGTAATGCTACTCATTAAAAAAAAATTGCAAACGGGTTTATTACGTGTCGGTATTGCTAAGTTCGTGAGGAAAAATTTGTCACGCTACTCTCAACTATTCAGCAACAAGACTTAAATCTCTTACGCGTTTTCCTCGCGTTCTTGGCCAAAGCCGTTCAAAATAAAGACGCTTCCCCATACTTTCGGTGAAATACAACGCGGATTAAATGGAAAATAAGAAAACCAGAACTTAGATACGTTCACAAAACACATGATTTAGGGGAAAAAATTCCGAGCACAAATGCAACAAATTTCATAATCAGTCAGGTCATGTTTATGTCTTTCATGGTAAGTGATTCGGACAATAACTTGCCAAATTCGGAGGAAAGGTTTGTAGAAGATCAGGCCTTTCAGCTAAAAACTGACAGACGACTTGACATTACAGGGTCCTTTTCTCATACTTACAGCAAAAGCGACAGAGAGTGGACACGTACCCATCATGTTTCTTCCTGAAATACTAAACTTGTTATTATCCACAAAGGGAACCTGCGCGTGTCTGACCTTTGCGCCCGTTTTACGAATTCAGGAAAACGGCGCTTCAATTTCAGGATGCTCTCTGCAGAGACTTCGGTTTTCGAACACCATTTTTAGCCTTTTTGTCTTTCTTAGGACAAGCTTGGAGAGTATGAGAGATAATGTCGCCCAAGTTAAGAGACATAGTGACCAGTAGAAGTTCCGGCCGTATTAACTCCAGCAAGATTTTTCCGCAAAGGAACTGTTAAGCCATCCCATACCAGCCTTCAGCAATAAGCACATTCCAAAGTGCTGAAACATGGTTCAACTTCTATCATTTTGTCACGATGTTTGTTAGATACGGATGATATAAAAGGATAAGCTATACACTGCGATTCATACAGTTTCTACGCTAGTATATCCTTTAAGAAACCGCGAGACACGGCCTTAAGCCAACAGGAAACTTTATCGAGATGGCAGGAGTTTTACTTCATATGAATTTGTCTTTATCGATAGACCGGAGGAGGATCACTCTAGAATGTTTTTAATATGTTTTGAATGAATTTGAATGAACCAGTTCTTTCTCTGATATTATAAGCCGCTGTCGCCTAGTGGGGGTGTTTTTACCGCCTCCCGGTTAGCTCAATTGGTTAGACCGCTGGACTGTTGTGCGGGATATGTTTTGAATGAATTTGAATGAACCAGTTCTTTCTCTGATATTATAAGCCGCTGTCGCCTAGTAGGGGTGTTTTTACCGCCTCCCGGTTAGCTCAATTGGTTAGACCGCTGGACTGTTGTGCGGGATATGTTTTGAATGAATTTGAATGAACCAGTTCTTTCTCTGATATTATAAGCCGCTGTCGACTAGTAGGGGTGTTTTTACCGCCTCCCGGTTAGCTCAATTGGTTAGACCGCTGGACTGTTGTGCGGGAGGTCGAGGGTTCGGTCCCCGGCCGGACCAATTCAACACTCATGGTCTCAAAATAACTGAGGAGAATGTGCTACCTTTCTACAATATCAAGAAATGGATAGACATTCTAGCTAGTCTTCTCGGATAAGGACGAATAAACCGTAGGTCCGGTCTCCTGCATCTTTAATTAGATAACTTGATTAGGTAGGGGACGTTAAAGAACGCACATCACGAGATTACTGTGATGGGATCTGCCCCAACAAATTTGCCTTTGTTGATTGTAAACTGCCACTGGCAGTCTGGTAAAGTCCCCCGCGCAGTATTGTAAGGCACATTTGATCATATCCACATGTTAATTTGCGCTATATAAACGTTAATTAATTCATTAATTCGTTTTAACCCTGTAACCCTCCCATGATTTCAAATTCGCGATTTTGCGAAGGTTTTTTAGTTTGAATCACTCTAGCTGCGCGTTTTGGGGAGCATAAAATCATTTTATTTTGCTTTGGTAATTCATTACGTCCTTATGTGTTATATGACTTGCGAGCTAGAGAGGAATACCGGCTAGCGCTGGTAAGTCCAAAATTATGACTCGCCGTAGTTCAAACTTTATCTTCTTTCGTCAACCAGAGAATCAAGTTGTTCTTCTCGAGCTTTGCTCTTCTGACTGTCATCGTTCAGTTCACCTTATCGGCATCTGTCGCAAAGGAAAAGGTAATTGAGATAAAATCATAGGATAAGCTGAATGATATATCAATTTAGAATGGTTCTTGGCTATGATCTTATATTTAATCATATAAGATAAATAGATTCTATGTTACTGTTGGTCAGCACAGTAACAAACAGTGTGTATAGTGACACAATCGACTGCGCCTCGAACCGCTGTGAACTTTTAAAGTCAATTTGAACATATTTGTTCGTCAAAATAAGCACTTGAGATGTCCTTATAATGTTGTTGGGTGTTTTCCAATGGTGCACAAAAGCTGTATAGTTCCTAGAAAGTAGATGCATCATATATCACGTGTAAAGCTTACTATGCGTAAAATCACCAAGGGTATTTAATGTGCTTATTTCGCAAGCGAAATTAGAACCATTTAAATACATGTACGTCGAAGTAAATTCTCCAGTTTTGAAATGAAATCTTCTTTGTTCTTAGGGCTCAGTGAGTAAATATTCATTGGAGTTGTCGGAAGGCGGAAAAAAATTCAAGGAAGAGATAACAATCGACACTACAAAGGGAACAGAGACTTTCCAAGTACCGAAGACATCGCCTAATGAATCAGAAGGAAATATAATCTACGATTTCAAAAGGGTAAATATTTAGTCGCATTTTTTGAATACGATCGCAGGGGTTGGTAGAGGCGATGAAGGCGAGAAAGACAGGTTTGAATTTCCGTCGGCATTTCCTGTTCGTACCCTATTCACATATTTATCTACTGCTGTTCACCAGTAGGTTGTTAGAGTAGTTCTTTGGCCGCTCGTTATTGGTTTCTTTACGCTAAATTCATACCTTTTTATAAGCATGGGACTCTGCTCGCTCTGTGAACTCCGTTATAAGTCTGTGTAAGAAACGATTTCTACTTCCTCTAATGACGATGGTAACTACTTGGTTAGCTCAGGTTGTAGAGCGCCGAAATGCCATGCGGAGGATCAAAGGTGTTAGCCCCAGACCGATACAACACCGGCTCAAAGTCTTAAAATAATAGACGAGAAATGTGCTGCCTTCGTAGTGACATCAAAAAAAAAATGGTCAGACATTCTAGTCTCCTCAGGAAAGGACGATTAACCGTAAGTCCCGTCTCCTGCAGCAGAGGTTGTTAAATAGCTCACGCACTTCTCGCGAAGAGTAGGGAGCGTGGCTCGTGGTGTTGTGGCATGGCCTCGTCGCCACAAATTTCTTTAAACAGCTCAATGCAGTCTGGCCAAAGTCCCCCACAAAGTGTTGTTAAGCGCATTAGAGCATATTCATTTAGAAAACACCAATTTAAACTTCCAGTTTGTCAAGTGTCTCAGTTCATGGCACTTCTGTTCACTTTACTGTTTGTTTTTCCTTTCAATTTTGACTAAACTTGGATTTATTTTACATGCAGCAAGTGACAATGATTCATCTACCAGTAGAAAAGGCTTGCTATATGGCAAGTTCAGTAGATGGAACTGTCGCACCCACCGTTTTAAAGGAAGCTTTAGAGACGGTGAGTAAGCTTGAATTGCCTCCACAGCTCGACTCTCTCGTCAGCCTTGCAATTTATTCACGCACGTTATACCTAATTCTCATCAATATCAATGTGTTTCATTCTATAACCAGGAAACTCCTAAAACAGGTGAAGGCTTAACAATTACCTCAACTGAAATACAAATGAAGGTTTTGGGACTGCTTGATGATCGTTCAGTGCTGAGTGCTGAAATGGCGGATTTGTGTGCCAATCTGCCAATCTATGTGGTCGTAAGG